TGACATAATAAAATTTTGTTAACAGACTCTGATACGACTGACTCTAAGGCAACTCCATGAGGTGGTCCCAAAGCTTGATTCGGTGTGTCCAGCAAGTATATTCCGTTCGCCTCATGGCCACTCCCAATCATCCTCTGAGACTGCAGGTCCTGAAAAACACAATGAGTGGGAAAGAAAGTTATGTTGCAATTCATGGACTTTGTTAAGCTAGTGACATATAAGAGGTTTGTGTTAAGCATAGGGACATGAAGAACAGAAGATAAGAACAGGGTGTCAGAGGTCTTTATATCACCTTTACCAGAGATGGGGGCAAGGGACCCATTGGCAGGGGATATTTTCTCTTTCCCAGAGAGAAGGTGATATGAGCAAAAAAGGTTAGATAGACTGGTCATATGGTCTGATGCACCAGAATCAATAATCCAAGGGATTTTATGATTACCTAAAGCTGAAGCATGATTTGTAGAAGCACAAGTACCTGAGTGAGCAAAAGCTGATGAAGATGATGTACTGTTGGAAGGGTGAGCTGAAGAAACTGTAGCTTCCAGGTGATTTAGGAGCTTCCCATACTTCTCAAAATCCAGCTTCATTGCAGCCAACTGTTCAATGGTGGATTCCTCTTCACTCTCCTTACTTCCCCCTTCAGGTACTATAGCAACATTAGCAGTCTTGGGTTTTCCCACTTGACTGCCCTTCTTAGGGTTATTATTGGTCTTAAACCTATCAGGAAGAAGTCCAGGATGAAGCTTCCAACAGGTGTCCTTTGTATGCTGTGGTTTCTTGCAATATGCACACACCTGCTCTCTCTTCTCAATAGGGCCCTTTGGTTTCATTCCCACATGTGCGAAATGTTCTGTAGGTGGACTCTGTAACTAAACCTGCTGCCTACTCTCCTCACTACTTATCATAGCATCTGCCTGTGAAAGAGTAACCTCATCCCTGGCCAAAATATTYTGTCYRRTAATATCAAACTCAGGGTTGAGTCCAGTGAGAAACTCAAACACCCTATTTCTCTCCACCAGCTTTCTATACATTTCAGCATCCTTTTTACTCTCCCATACCA